CTGCCAGGTTGGTCCTGCAGCACCACCATTACCTCTTAATGCAAAACATTTGGCATAAAGAAGGCTGCCATAGGACGCCTTTTATTTCTTTCAGAGCTGTGCTAGCTGTCAGTCATGGTTCTTAGTCATTTAAAGAAATCTATAGATACAACCTGTTAATATGCATTCTAAACAAGTTAACTCAGAATTTTCTTGATCATGTTTTAGTTTTTAAAAAGAATTTGCAGAATATTTTATGGACTTTGGCTGTTTCTCACCAGCTGTCCTGCAGCGCTGCTCAGGTGAGGGATGGTGCTGCAGGAGCAACCCAGCAGCACCCCAGCTGTTCTGCCCCACCGCTTCCCCAAATCGCTGGCCTGTCACCAGCAGCTGCGCAGGGCTTCCCCGGTCAACCGCCCGCCGACCCTTCTTAGCCCCCCTGCTGAAGTACCTCCTGATACTCCGGCTTATCTGATAATCCAGCAACCCTACGGTCCCAAAGGTGCCGGATTATCGGACATTTACTGTACTTGCTGTGGGTGCATCTACACAACACCCTAAACTCGAGATAATATATGCAATTTGCATAACATCAATTGCATATCTTATTTTGAGTCTATTTCAAAAGACTTTTGAAATTTGGTGCTGTCTACACGGTGCCAAATTTCAAAATAATGTGCTATTTTGAGCCATTTCTTAACCCTCATGCAACAAGGTTTACAAGGATGGTGAAATAGCATGCCCATTATTTCAAAAAATATTTCAAAATAAGGGGTGTGTTTTTTAAGACGTGGGGTAGCTATTTCGGGATACATCAGTATCTCTTCTGTGTAGACATACCGATTATCACTGTCTCTTGCTCCAAAACCATAGAGGACCTAGCCATTTCTGGGATCCTTGGACTGTAGTTGTGTGTCTATGAACTCACTGCCAGCCCTGGGCTTGAATTCACCCCTGATTATTAGGAACTATTGCCTATTTTTTTTATATTACAAACTTTCAAGATTTTTGATGAAAGCAATCATTGTAGAAACATGTACC